CACGGATGTACACACTTTCTAAACGCTTCGCTAGTGCTCGCCATAGTAGGAAAGAAAAAGCTCTTACTTTGCTTTTTGGAATGCACGCTTCAAACAGACCGGTCAGTGAAGACGAAGAAGAGAATGATGTGTGCTCCCGGCGCCTATTTACACTATAGTCGCACCGGTAGTGACGTCATGGCTGTCGCCGGCCAACAAGTTGGTGTTTTTTCAATGTATGCTTCAGACACGGGTCACGACGAGGCGTTCCCCATAGCGACCCCTAGAGGACGCAGTTCGAAGTTCCTATGAAAGGGAACTACTCTTAAGACAAAAAGAAGGATGCAAGTATTCTTGCAGCACACTCTGCTGATAGCTAAAGTTTAGTTGTTCTGTAGCACTTAATGAACTGAACTATAGCCTGCCATTTTTTTCCTTTTCATAGTGTATATTTGATATATAACTACAATTAATAATTTATTTATCTGCCAGGTCTTATGTCATGTTTTCAAAAACTATACACTGTTACTCAATACATAATAAAATGAAGAAAAATTACTTTGTACATTTTATAGCGTGCATGTTCTGAAAACGTGTGAGAAACTGCTGATACATCTAATGTTTGTCATTAGAGGCTGTTGGAGATTTACAATAAATATATTGAAAACTGACATTTGTCTCATGCACAAATATTTCACACACAAAACAAGCTAAACTAAGTAACAGATTAAGTACTTTTATTTATTTTTTAAACAATATTGGATAGGATATGCAACCTCAGTTGAGTACACTGCGGTAAACAAACTTGGCTCTTGAGTTGTCAGAGACTGTGACTGGGGGAAAAGCAACACACTAACAAACAACATTCAGTTGATGTAAAGGATGCAAAGTGTGTCTTTGTACATCGTTATACTGAGAATTTTGTACAGCTTGAATAATAGTCCACATATTTAATGCTAAGATATAAAATAAAAAACCTCTAGCAGAAACTGCAAAAAGCTAAACAAATAGTACTGAAAATGTATTACAAAAACACTCATTTAAATTCATATGGTTGACATGCATCATTTGGCAGTCATAGTTTTATGAAGCCACAGGATCTGGCGAGCATGAGTGGCATGTTTTGGGTTAAGACAGAGGTGTCCATTTATTACACAATTCAAGGCATGTCACTGGTCCACCCAACACGCAAAGCTGTAGGGGATATTTAGATGGACAAACATATCCTGAGAGAAGACCAGGATACTCACAGCATTTATTTGGCTTTTATAGAAGATTAAATAGTCAAGTTAACAAAAAAATGCACTTGGCAGTTATGTAAATAATATAAAAAAAGAATACTGCAGCATGCAAAAGAAAACTCTTCATACCTGTACAGCACTCAGAGTCACAACTGCATTAACCCAGATCCCATAATTACTATTCTTCTGTAAAATTCCTCAAAGACTGCATTAAAAGTCGGCCATAATTGACCTTGATAATCATCAAACCCTTCAGTATAAGTTCCAGCTTTTTGGTCAAAAATGCAATCCAGACACATTAGCATGACACTCTCAGAGCAACTACATATATCTACAGATATCAGTTTTGGTATAATTATTTTCAGTATGAATCATACCCACAGTTACAGAATGCGGGTTGGTGGACGTAGAGAAAACTGACCCACCGATAATACAATAGACATTTAACTATCACAAAATTGACATTAATTTGCTATGTACCTCTGCCTTCTAAAATAAAAATATATCTCATAGCATCTTCAGTAGTTACAAATCTACTACAGAAAAGATTGCCTCAAGTATAGCTGGAGAACTTGGTTTGAAGGCAGCTATCATTTTGCAGGTGGATATGGTGATATAGACACTGATGCTGCCTTAAAAAATATTCAAGACAAAAACATGGTTGCAAGAATCAGTTTGGGAGGAAAAAAAGGCATTCAAGAATATTCGCTGCAAATGCTGCCTTGTTTCTGCCAGTCTGCTCATAAACACACAAACAAGCAGCTTTTGGGTAACCCTGATGCTCCCTTGAGTGCAACTGCCATGTTTTGGGGGACTGAATTAGTTTGCGGTCCTACTCTCAAACTCATTTAATACTTCTCTTCTCCATATCTCACTGTGGTGGTCGTGCCAGAGGAACGGTGAAGAGCGGAGAACGGGTTCTGGCAGGGTGGGGTAAGTTCTAGGATTTGTCTGAGGTGTTTGGTCGCTGTTTCCCATCCGTGTTCTGCCCGCTCTATTAGTAAAGACGTTTCTCATAACTGTGGAGACAAAAGACAATAGTTTGAGATAGTGAAACCCATCCTAGCTCTGACATTTAAAGGTAGTGTTGAGCACTGGTGCCCTCTAGTGACTCACGAGTGAAGTCCATGTACGCCACCCTCCACCTGAGCAGACATGGTCCGCTTCTCGAACTTCAGCTCTCCGGAATACATCATGGACCTGAATGTGCACACAAAAACAGTGTAGGAATTTTCAGTGTTTAAACAAGCCGAATGCGCAATAAAACACAGACACATACTTACCGAAGCACAGAGAGGCTTTTTGCACCAATGTCTTGGCAGCCGTGTTGGATTCCAGCGATGAGGTATGGGACAAATTTATGGATGGAGCCTTTGTCCTGCACTGAGCCCGACACTCCCTGAGCCACCTTCACCTTATCGCCCTCGCTGCCAAAAGAGCCAATCAGCAAAGAAAATGAGGTCATGTGATGAGAATAATATATCATTATATACTATACATTAAGAATACAGTGCATGCAGCACACTATTCAGAAAGAATTTAATTCTGAACATAGCAATTGGCTTCTAACTGCTGAATAATTTATCTGTGTAGTACATAAACACACATTACTGTGTACCTGAAGTATCGTTTCTGGCTGCTGGCATTTTTCTCCATGGCATCTAGTGAGCCCATGCCTCTGTATTTCTTCAGTCGCACCCCATCAGAAAAGAAATATTCGCCTGGAGCTTCTGTGGTGGCGGCCAACAGAGATCCCATCATAACTGCAGACAGAAAGCACATTAATTTCATTTTCAACATTTCCTAAATTGTTACAAGTGCACTATAACAACAATCACCTGTCGATGCCCCCAGGGACAGTGCCTTCACCACATGGCCGACCGTCTGGATGCCCCCATCTGCGATGACAGGCACCCCAAACCTCCGAGCGTACTCTGCCACCTTGTACACGGAGGTACCCTGAGGCCGTCCACATGCCATGACTACAGGGATCAGAAATGGACACACATCAGGCTTTATGACTGGTTAACGTGTGAAAGGAATAGTGCAACATAACAGTGAGTACATAACTGTATATTGTGTTGTGAAATACAGGGATGCAAACTTGCCACCTTTTGGCAAAAATCACCATTTTGAATCCAAAATAGTTAATTTGTGTAGATACGATGGGTGCTTGAAGTGTGACACCGTGTTCATTTACACACAAGCTGCTCATAAATTCCGTGTTTTCAGTGGCTCGGTTTGCAGTAGATGCAGCTCCACATGAATTAAATTTCTGCAAGTGCTGAGAGATTTGGTCTCTCATATTGCGCATTTGAAAATGCAAAACACCCCAACAATCTTCTCAAATTTATAACGAGAATAATTTATAAATCTGTGGTCAACAAAAGAGAAGCTGTAAGATCTCCCTGCTGTTAATGTTTGAAAGCAAAAAAAAAGAAAAACCACATGAATATTAGAATTGCAATTTTACTTCTATTCAGTCAAATTACTATTATTATGATTATTAAATAACGTTACATTATTACTTGTATAGTAAAATAGTGTTATACTAATGTAATGTTTGTGTAATTTATTAAAAAAAATATTAATACTATTAAAAAAATAAGACAAAAATAACATTAAGAAAAATAATAAAGATGATGACCATTCAAAAAAATAAAATAAAAAATATAACTGTGTCTAGGGTGATTTCTTTTATACATTTATGCTCAAATCGACTGTAAATCCACATTTTAAAACTCTCAACGCTCTCATACCACCCTGAGGGTTTGCCAGTTTGCATCCCTGGCAATATATGGATACTTTGTTGATTGCATGTGTGTGAGATTGAGTCCCAACCTTCCTGTGTGATGCAGATAGAACCACAGCCCATTCCCACTCTCAACGCATCCGCCCCTGCGTCTATCAGGTTCTTCGCCTGAGCAGCTGTAACCACTACAGAGAGAGACAGAGAACAAGAGTAAGCAACTGTGAAGTATGTGAACTCATGATAGTATTTCAATCCATATTTACCATTCCCTCCCACAACCTGCAGATCTGGGTACTTCTGCTTAATGTAATGGATCATGTTAATCTGGTATACGGAATTGCCTTGTGACGAATCCTGAAAAACAAATAAAAACCTCAATATTGGTGATGCTAGTAGGACTTACCTCACACTTCACCTTAAATAGAAACATCAAAATAGTTTGACAGTTTTGAATATAGGCCTACATGAAACTGATCTTGGAGATAAGCTCCCTCAAGCAACAGGCAGCATCTGCTTTCGTTTCAGTTTTCAAAACCAATGACTGACATTTAGTTTAGAACAACCGCAGTGGCTTTGACCTACCAAAACCACTACATCCACCCCAGACTGCACGAGCAGGTCCAGACGGTATTTATCGTCTTCACGGGTGCCGATGGCAGCGCCACACAGCAGCTGTTTGCGGGAGTCTTTGGAGGCCAGAGGATAGTCCCTGTTCTTCTTCAGGTCTGTGCGGGCTATTATGGCCACCAGTTCATCCTTGTCATTCACGATGGGTAGTTTACCTGTCGAGTAAATGAATAAAACTCATTGAGACCTTTTAGAATTGTTAAACACTATATTTTATAGTGTTTCCTGTGGGTGAAAGGGGACTGAAGCACTAAAAGTACAAACTAAAAGAATTTGATATTCAGTTAAAACGCTGTGATTGTCCAATTAGACCTGATGACTGTAGTCTGTGTTTTGGTGTTCTCACCTTTTTTGCTGCGTTGCAGGATGTCATTGGCTTCTTTTAGTGTGACACCAGCAGGAGCGACTACAAGATCCTCTCTTTTAGTCATGGCCTGGAAAACAATTACAGATGAACAGCCATAAGGGTACAGCATGCCAAGCACTTAAGTAAGTTTAAGTTAAGTTAAGTAAGTTTTTTTTCTTCTTCATACAGCAAGGATGCTTTAAATTGATCAAAAGGGACACTATTTAATAATGTAAATAATACATTATGTAAACAGTATGTAATAATGTAAAAGATTTCTATTTCAAATCACTATTTAAAAAAATATTTTCTTTTTTGAGCAGCAAATCAGCATATTAGAATGATTTCTAAAGGATCATGTGACACTGAAGACTGGAGTAATGGCTGCTGAATTCATCTTTACCACTACAGGTATAAATTGCATTTAAACTAGTGCTGTCAAACAATTAATCGCGATTAATCGCATTCAAAATAAAAGTTTTTGTTTACATAACACAAGTGTGTGTACTGTGTATATTTATTATGCATATATAAATACACACACATGCTTGTATATATTTTGAAAATATTTACATTTATTTAAATGTATATATTTATATTCATTTAATTTATATTATATATAAATATATATAATATATAAACATAACATTTTTCACATGCATGAGTGCAAGGCTTGACATTAACACCCGCCAAACATACCTGCCAACACTCCCGTTTTTCCCGGGAGTCTCCCGTATTTCACACCCATCTCCCGCCCCTCTCCCGTTATGTTATTTCTCCCGGGAAACTCCCGTAATTTGTATGGCCCTACCTCGTTATATGAATAATCACATCAATATATTATTCCAAGGTTGTCCAGTTGCCAGATCTTGTATGAAACGCATCCTACTCGCACAATAGACAGATCATAAAATTTTGAACCCATTTGTGACCTCAACCTGGCAACCTACAACTCAGTTGCGCTGTTGATATCTGTGCATGTATACGGGGGAAGTTGAATCAAGCATCACTGGTAGAAATGGCATTAGAAAGCTCAGGTGGTGCTACGGCTAAAAAAAACTAAATATAGCTGCAAATTCAACAACAGCTGGACGGAGGAATTTAATTTCTTATCGCGAAGCAGCATCGACAATTCCCACACTTTTGCAAAGTGTGTCGCACTGATTTTAGTATCGGACACGGTGGGAAAAATGACGTAACGCAGCACAATAAATCACAATGCCCCAAACCCAATCCGCGTATCCCGCATGAATACAGTCGGTTATGGCTTAAGTGGACGTAAACAGGTGGGTAAAAACTGGATATGTCTCATAGTATATACCGTCCATGCATTCAGCAGCCCAATTAAATACCTGTCATTAATGTTAATCAAACAACAAAAGATGTTAAATGAATGTTTACACGATAAATAAACCTACTGTAGAAAAAATAGTTTATTTAATTTACTATTGTATTTGTAATTTGCTTGTTTGTTCTTTTTATATAGACTAAAAAATTGCTCTCATATTATGGTCATATTGCCCACCCCTTGTCCACCCATATATACCAGCTAATATACCATGTAGTCTTGATTTGTGTGGTCAGTCTGCATTTGAAAGTTTGAAAGGGTTTTGAATCTAGCTAAATCAAGTAAAATCAAGTAACTTTAATATGTAACTTGCAATATGTAAAAAGTCAACTTTAATCATATAAAATGTAATTTGCCAACAGCAAAATTGTGGCCAGTGAAAATGCGGAGTGGCTAGTAACTTTGGAAACCCACTAGCCATGGTGGCTGGTGAGCAAAAAAGTTAATGTCAAGCCCTGCATGTGTGTAATTATATATACATAAATATACACCATACACACACATTTATTATGTAAACCAAAACATTTATTTTTGGATGTGATTAATCGCGATTAATCGTTTGACAGCACTACTTCAAACAATATTTTTTAATCGTAAGACCAAAGAAGACCATTCTTTCAAAACCTTTCTGGACACAAACTTTTGAACAATAGTGTAGATGCTCAAGATCACATAGGTAGTCTTACCTCCTCTAGGGGTTTGTTATGATCTTTCTCAGACAGGAAATCAATGTCTCGTGACGTGACGATGCCGACCAGTTTGCTGCCCATCTTGCCCGTCTCAGTTATGGGGATTCCAGAGAATCCGTGTCGAACTTTTGCTTCAAGTACATCACCTACAGTGTGACGAGGACTCAGGACCACTGGATCAGTGATGAAACCCTGTTCAAACCTCTGCAGGCACATACACAGAGACCTTGACATCAAATATTAACAGGTACCAACACACACACACTCACAAAAGACCTTACATTAAACATTTATGAACGGTGTCTTACCTTCACTTTGCGCACCTCGTTGGCCTGAAACTCTGGTGTGCAATTATGGTGAATGATGCCAATTCCTCCCATCAGCTGAGCAACAAGTCAGAAACATTCATATTAATTATTGACAGAAGTTCAGTCTAATCAAAAAAAGGATTTAAGAGGTACTCACTGCCATGGCAATGGCCATTGAGGATTCGGTAACAGTATCCATAGGAGAGGAGATGAGTGGGGTCTTCAGTGTGATTTTCTTGGTCAATGCTGAGGTCAGGTCCTACACAAAATATCATAGAAATGATTAAAATGTCATGTCATGATTATGAAGGTGTCATGTCAGTCTTATGCACACCCCTTCAAGTAAAGTGTAACCAAAAATATTTCTGTTAATAAAACAATTATGATCTCTGGCTTGATTTCAGGACAAAAGTGAGTGTATTTTGACTATGTAGTTCCATGTCTGACCAATAGAGGCAGAAGAGTATCAATAACTGCTGTACCTCATCATATCAACAGGAATATTATGCCTAGTGATAACATTTTTGTGTGATAAAAACATAACTGTTTTTGGTGCAAAAAAATTATAAAAAACAAAACAAAAAAACACTACTGTTCAAAAGTTTGGAGTAAGATTGAATATATTTATTTAGCAAGGACACGTTCAATTGATCAAAAGTGACAGTAAAAACACATAATATTACAAAAGATTTTTTATTTAACATAAATGCTGTTTTTTTGCACTTTGAATTCATTAAAAAATCCTGAAAAAAAGCATAACGGATTCCATAAAAATATTAAGCAACGTACAATGCAAACATTAATAATAAGAAAACCTTATTGAATAGCAAATCAGCATATTAAAATGATATCTGAAGGATCATTTGACACTGAAAATTGGAGTACTGGCTGCTGAAAATTCAGCTTTGCCACCACAGAAATAAATATTAGAAAACAGTTATTTTAAATGATAATAATATTTCACAATATTACAGTTTGTTTTTGATTAAAAAAATATGAAATATGCAGCCTTGGTAAGCATAAGAGAAGAGGCTTCCTTCAGATACACTGAAAAAGACTTTAAACGATAAGGTCAAAGAACTTGAACTAATTCAAAGAATACCACATATAAACATGGTAAAAGTGCATGTAAATCAAAATTATTTTTAAAAAAATGGGTGTGTAGAAGTGGTTAAGATGGGGTGACTGTGAAGTCTGTGACCTTCATTTGTACACCAGTGCTGAGAAATGTTCCTCTAACACAGATAAGCTCACAAACATTCACCTTGTCAGTACCAACAGCCTAAAGTTCCCAAAATACGCTTTTGCATTCACACCGTTGGGGAAGAGTGGCCTCATGGGAAAACAGACACCATAGTGGGAAATTTCCCAAATCTATGGTTCAGTAAAGGACAGCTAGTGAAGTCTCAGAGAAAAGTCAGACACAGACATTAAACCTGTTATTAAACCAGCCTAACAGGAGTTTCAGTTTCAATACTGGTCACACTCGCAGTTGTTTTGTGTTTTGAGCTTCGACCTCATTTACTTCATTATTATATTCAATACAGGGATTTTAAAGCCCTACTGTGCGCCAAAGGCAATAAAAAGAAAAAAGAAAACAAAAGATAATACAGCAGAATGTTCAAAGTTCATTAAATTTGTATGTGTGCAAGTGGATTGTGAACATTGTTCACAAAATAGAACACAATTCAAATAAAGGGGAGAAAAAGCAGCTGGTTTACGAGTAATTTGATGCAAATTTAAAACTGCTGAATTAAGTATTACAGAAGTCAAATAAGATCACAAAAAGTGAAGTGCTACTTTTCACAATTAAGGAAAGCCCGTGAGCAATGAAACAAAGGAGACAGCCTTTTAGCTGAAAATAGTGAGTCCAGAGAAAACACAGACGGGTTGTTTAAACCAACACGTCATTGTGAAAACAAACCGAATGAGTGAATGAAAGTGTGGAGGATACAAGGCAGACGACTCACCACTTCATCTGAGGTGAAGTCAATGAAGCCAGGCAAGATCAGGAAGTCACTGCAAACGAGACACATAGAGATAAAACAATCACTGACCAAAAATCAAATCATATATAATCTCTTGCAAGAGAAACAAACACTACCGTTCAAAAGTTTGGTGTCGGTAACATTTTTTTTTTTAACGTTCCTATTTTAAAATGCATTTTATTCCTGTGAAGGAAAAGCTGAATTTTCAGCATCATTACTCCAGTATTCATTGTCACATGATCCTTCAGAAATCATTCTGATATGCTGATTTACTGCTCAAGATTTCTTATTATTATAAATAGTAATATTATAAGTAGTTCAAAATATTATGCACTGATACATAGTATTACATAAAAGTAGTTTTTTTAATTACAAAAAATTACAAATTTTACTGATCCCAAACATTTGAATGGTACTGCATACCTCCTTAAGGTTAATTTTGTCCATTTTTAGCATTTAAATAGATGCAAAGATGCAAAGACATGAGCAAAATGTTGCAAAACTTCCATTTTATTTTAAAGGGAGAGGAGGCGGTACTTATGCTTCAGATAAACATTCAAGCATAATGAAAACCTGATGCTGACTCCTGGATTTATGACACCTTAAATCATGAGGAGCTCTAAAATAAGTGTGGTTTTTGAGGTGAGCTTGAGGAACGTCTGAGGCCCAGGCACATTCTGACATGTTCTCATTTACATGAAACAAACCTTCACCGGCCTACTGAAATCCACCGATACGTGCTATATAAATCCTGCTGACTTCCTTGACCAGATGACATAAATACTAGCAAGCTCCTCATGCAGACGAAAGGTAACTGCTTGGCAGATGAGTGCCAAAACCCAGTGGGGAGAGAGAAAGTTAGAAGGATTCTGAATAGGTTATGTATACGTAAAAATAAAGGGAGAGACAGAGGCAACTTGAAGGACAAACATATTTTCTCCTCTTGTGGTGGGCTAAATAAGGAGTTTGTGTCGCCCACATGAGCTGACCACACACCCCTAAACATCAACAACACAGGGTGTGAACATCAAAAAAAAAAGCCCAAATAAACAGACAGTTGTCCTGATTAAATGTGCTAGTCTAGATCTTTAGTACAAATCCAAGAATTGTTTTGACTGCCAGGAATATTGCAGGGAGCAATAGTTGTTACACCACATAGGCTACTCCTAAAAGTGAAGTGGCACCAAGCAATAAAAGCTCTTATCCATGTTAATCAGATTATTTGTCCCAACAAGCCACAATGAATGGATATTTCTTCCAGTGAATGCGATGGCCCTGCCCACAATGAAATTGGATTGGTTCAGAATCCTGCTCCGCATAACTTCATACTAACCATCAGATATGTTCTGAATGGTTGTGATTAAGTAGTGTTGCTTTGTTACTTTCTGTGTGTTTACATACCTAAATAATCTCTTAAACGTACATATTAGCATCTATAATCAGTTAATGAACTCACTGCAGACTTTCAGCTCTACAGACTCTCTGGTGGAACAACAAGTCTCAGTTTTAGATGACTCAGACTGTAAACTTCACTAGACTCAAAGACAGTACAGATTGAAACCCAGACTACCTCCAAATATGCAGACAAACACGGTGCCAAAAATATCACCACAGAATACAGCTTTATTCCAACCAGCTCTGAACAAATCCAGGTAACATGGTGATCCACTAAACCCTACATTTACTAATGTTTTTTTAATTGAAATTTAAACTGCATCCTAATTGTTCAGCTATATGGTTTCAATGAGCAGTTGCTCTGACTGAAGCGGTTCCGTAATCCAGTTTCAGTTTGAGTGCAGTATCTCCTTATCATCCATACTTTGTAGAGAAATGACATCTGACTAATTCCCCTTTTTTTTATTCAAAAACATTAGTGAAGCATTAGTGAACCCATTCTGCCTCACTGTACTTAGATTCATTCGTTTGGGGAAAAAACAAGCTACAGGGTCACACTCAACAAACATTTTCTTTCACTGACTAAAAAAGCCTACAAGAATTTAAGTTCTGCAATTTCACTTCAGTTGATTGTATTCTTGAGCAAGATTCAATGAACAATAGGAACAATAGGAGGCAGACATGTTAGCCAAGTGGGTGGAAATGTGAGGTTTTTAGCTTGTAAGAGGGGCTGAATCATAAAGAATATTTTAAAATCAAAATACACCAATGGGAAATAATAGCTCCATCCCTGTCAACTTAAAATTCAACAATGGGATCAATTACTTTTCAGTTATTCGAATTCAACAGATGGATTCAACAAATCAACAAATTTAATTCATATTTCAAATAGACAAAGTAACTAAAAGAAATTCCTTTGCAAGTGCAAATTTAAAATAGTTTAGTTTTTAAGAGTATAGGTTTTTTATTTATTTAGAAAAAAAATTGTTGAATACTGTTAATAACTTGAGAATAATAAATTTTAATATCTGTGCATTCTTAAAGGGACAGATCACCCAAAAATAAAGTCTGTTATCATTTACCTTTCCTTACATCATTCCAAACCTGTATGAATGATATTTTTCTTTGAAGCATAGGAATATATTTTGAGAAATGTCTCAGTGTTCTTTGTCTATACAGTAGATGTCAATGGTAATCGAACTGTACTAACGTCTTCAAAATATCTTCTTTTGTGAGACAGAAAATCATACAGCTTTTGGAATGAAATGAGGGCGAGTAAATGATGACAGAATGATGACATTTTTGAGTAAACTATGTAACAAAAGCCCAAAATCCTAAAAGGTGTGAAATAGGTTAAGTCAGATTTGATAGAGATCAAAATGGTGCCTGTTGCAACATTTTAATATAGTTTGAATAAACAGAAAAAACTCCAGATTATGTGCATTTTAAAATGACATGGCCTCTGAGTCAGCTAATGTTATAAATGGAGGAATTTGCTTGAATATTTATGGAGGCATAGAAATCTCTTTTATCTCTCTGATAAAATAATCTTTCAAAAAAAACATACAACAAGCCTGCAAAGTAACACAGGGGTGAGACATCTCACATCAGTACAACAGAGGTCTGAGCCTCATGTGTCATATGCCATACAAAAAAAACTGTTCAGATACACTTATGCGTGTGCATTACACAAATCAATTCAGCACATACACACCCGTGTCAGATTTATGGGGGGGTTCAGACATAACTGTGTTTTCTCTATCCCTGTCTGTGTGTATGTGCGTGTGTAGAATGACCCCCCCCCTCACATGACGCCAGCGTGAGGATAGTCATGCGGCCCACAATGCATCCCTACACACTTTTCATTACATATAAGACAGTTATACAGCTGGACCTTTCACCTTGTAATCTCAATCTTAAAGGCGAGACTGTTCATGAACTCACCATGTCCTAATGTCACCCATCAGAACACAAGTTTGACTCCTTACAGTCTACCATTACAATGCATTATGGGTAAACAGAATGAAGACATATATATGCATTGTCAAACATGACACACTAAACTGTCAACATTTACGCTCCCTCATGTCATTCCAAACCTGTATGACTTTCTTTAGTAATATACATAGGATATATTTTTTAGTGGCTGTAAAATGAAAGTCAGTGGGGTTCAATGTTGTTCAAACTCCCATCGTTCTTCAAAATATCTTCTGTTGTGTTCCAAAAAAGAAAGTAAGCCATACAGGTTTAGAATGACAAGAGGAAGAATAAATGGTGACAATTTAAATTTTTTACTGAACTGTCCCTTTAAGAAACCCCTTTGATTTGAGCTTGTGTAAATCAATCATGCAAATTATTACATACACAGAATTATATATCCTGGCTCAACCAAGCTAATATAACATGTGGCATAGATTACGATTGAAATCCCCCCCGCCAGCGATTGAAATCAGAATCTTTTGATTGTCTCCCAACAGCAAGGACCCTAAATAGACCATCCAGACTATATACAGCTGGAACGTTTGAGTCTCTTATTGAGCTCACTAGAAGACGATGTCTTAAATAAAGGACCATATTACTCACTTGTAAGTCATACCGTCCCCCATAGAGCAAAGCTCTTCCGCCGTGAGTCCGTCTCGGACAGACTGCTGTTCTGATCTGTAATGTGGATGCCCATTACATACACACAGAGTATCACTGCAGGGAGAGGAACCCAATGAAAAGCACTTACTTGTAGGTGAGACCATCTCCAACTGAAAAGAGCTGCTGGGCAGACAGTCCGTCATCAGGGATATAGCCAGTTCCTCCACTTATCAGATAGTCTGCCATACTGGAAAGAGAAATACACAAACACAACCTGTAAATAGCACCGTTCTCGTCATAGCTAATCTGCAACTTTGCTTTCGAGCGAAGTAAAACCATCTCTGTATTTATATTGGCATTCTGTTTATAGTCTAAATAGAATTTCCATTCAAATTTCTTATCTTTTCTGAATTTCCACTATATGTAAAAATCCCATTCATTTTTCCATAGCGGAATTTATTTTTAACTATCACTTAAAGACATACCTACTATGAGCTGCAGAGTTAATAATCAATGGTATATGCTTTTGTTGAAGCCACCAGTTTGCATTATTTCAACTTTTTTTTTTTTTTATTATGTTTAACAGTGATGTTTAACAGATGTTTCCTGAGTGAAAACTACATTACCCATGATTCTGCAAAGAAAGCTCCAATCAGATAATCAAAACAAACAATATTAGTAGTTGTCAATCAATATTAAAAAAAATTATAACCTGAGAGCAGGGAGGGCAACAGCAAATTAAGCATCTTTTACACAATATTTACTCAAAACTCACTAAAAATAAAATGATCCATTGACTAGGCCAATGGTGTCCAATCATGCCACAGGAGGGCCACCTTCCTGCAGAGTTCAGCTCCAAACCTAAACAAACACACCTGAACTCGCTAATCAATCAAGATGTTTGAAATTACTACAAACCTCCAGAGAAATGTGTCGGAGATGAACTCTTCAGGCAGGTGGCCCTCAGGAAACACGTATGGAAATCCTGGACTATGTTACTGGTAGATTTTTGGAACTGTTTTTAATAGAATATTAATAGATTATTTTAATAGATGTCTGCTTATATTTGGCCATTCTGTTTGATTGTGATGCGTCTGTTTTAGGTTGTTCCAATGAGGTTGTCATTGTTTTACGGTGTCTGGCTGATGCCAAAAATGTTAAAATGGCTGATATTTGATTTCAATGTGGCTGATTTTATAGACTCTGTCTGTACCAGTGGCTATGCCACTGTTTTTATTGACTTTGGCTGAGGTCGATAATCTAAGTGACCGAGTATCAGCTGATATTTGTTTTTAAATGTACTCAATACGGATGGAAATCAGCCAAGGTTGTGATCTTATTATGGCCAAATATCGGTCGATTTGTCGGTCTCTACACATTAATGTAAATCTAAACGTTTCGAAGTTAATTTTAAATCTTAGCACTTTTCTTTTTTCTGCTATGGAGGAAATAGTATTTATTTCAGGAAATGCATTTCTCATCGGTTTTATTTTAGTAAAAAGCACAGTTAACAGGAAGCCACGCAGATTCTGTCTGTGTTAAACCACATGTCGCGACGCGTGGAATATTGGGAACAAGGCGTTTAGGTTCACGATGTAAACAGTCCATCGATAACCAAAACGCACGTTAAACACGTCCTGGTGCTGTAATAATGTAACTATCACAGCGCCGTGACCTACTAACATTATTCCATCTGCAACCGCGATATAAAAATAAACGAACAGATGTTGACACATGCACATAGACGGCCGTAAACTGACAGAAATATTGTATTTGTGAATTCATGCATACTCTTTGAATACAGTAAATTAATCTACAGACTCGCACTACTGGCCCGGTGACCTACATTTATGTACATTAATAAAATGTAAGTCAGGGAAACCCGGAGGAGTCTCTATCGAAATCAAAAGCGAACCTGGTGAAGATTCTTTGTTAGTACTCCTCCTGCTACACATTACTAAAATAACCATATTTAACATGATACCCGAGTAAATATAAATTCAAACCTTTTCTATAGATGAGCACGCGTGTATCTGGAGCTGATGCGCGTCAGATGGGACAACCCAGTTTACCGCTCTCTGTAGGAGAATGCGTTATCTAAAACCGGTTAGTTCATCTATACACCCTATTGTCCGGGTTTTCAGATCCTTCAGAGGGTCTCGTTTGAATTCGGGTTTTGTGATGAGTCTGGCTTTATGTAGAAAGCGAGGCAGACACAGAGCGCGCGCGTCATATCCTCAACAGCTCCACAGCCACGTGGTGACGGCATGGTTAACTCTTTCATTACCGCCACATTAGTGTGTATATTCGTGCTCTATATTTATACATTGTGTATGGGTCAGTGTCAAATAAGGATGCCCGAGACATTAAAAAGGTGAAATCATTTGATATGGGTTCAAATGCATGTCAAGTTATTGAAATGAAATATTTGTATTCATGTGGGCTTATAATTTACACTATTTTTAGATACATTTGATATAATAAACTGTAAAACGCTTTTCTTAAGTTAATATATCAAAACGTGTTGTTTTTTTTGTTTTGTTTTTTGTTTTTTTTTACCGGAAGGTAAAAAAGTGAGGGTCTAAAGGGAAGGGAAAGGAGAGGAGGGGAGGGGGTCACATGTAAATGTTGGTTAGGCCACACTGACAGCAAATGACTTTTTAACTACATTATTTTTGTAAGAATATCAGAATTTTAATTAGACTCTTCTTGTATAATGTTACACCTCATTTTTGACTTAAAACTAAAAATTCAGAAATTGAAAACCTCTTTATCATAAATTTGTATTCAAGTCACTGTCCAAATTAATTACATTTTTTAATGTATTTTTCTGAAGTCCTTTCTCATTAAGTCTTGAATAAATGCTAAATAAGCCAATGACCCAATTACATAATGTTATAACCAGAGACCAGACACATGGTGGCTCTGGTAATTGTCTAGCACCACTGCTAGATTTAAAAGTCAGCCACAACCAATTACCTGATGCCAATTGCTGAAGGATGACAGTGCTTAAGCAGATTACAAATCCTCTCTATTGACTGGCCAGCACTTTGCCCACACGAAAGCCCAAACTAATTTTGATAAAAGTAGTCTTTTAATGTGCACATTATTCATTCATCTGAGGGGGGGGGGGAATAAAATTTTAATGTTATAAAATGAGTAGCAACTTCGGCCATCCATTGAACGTTTTTTGTAATGTCTACCATGTAAATAATTTCCTCTATCCATATTCTCATTGTTTAGACACCGCAGTGTAGCACCTTGTAAAAACAACAATTATAGCACTATAATGCAATTCATGATCAAGTCTGGTGTGCTTTGCTTTGTATTCCATTGATTAACATGGGTAGCCAACCATAAAACAGCAATTTGTACACCAAATTTGTTGGCATGCCATTCAACAACTCAAATTATGATCTTTTTCATTAAAGCAACCAAAGGCTTAATCTTTTACTTTAAGTCTGACACCCCCAGGCAAAATTGTCAGAGGCAATGGTAATGTGAGCACATATCCCATGATTGCCCAGGGAGCTTTTGGACCATTGGGGCGAGATGGGAAGTGCATGTGGGTTTGTAGCATTTATTTAGACAAGTGAGTGTGTATAAGAAGTACAGACAATAAGCATGGCTCTATTTGCTAAGAATAGTAGCGTGTGTGTGTGTCAGAGGCAACAGCCGTTAAAAGCCCTGACCCTTGTCTCCTCCCATCACAACAGAGAGGTGAAGCGGTTATATGTAGCTCACCATATGTGGGTCAGTGGACATGTGGGTCAGAATATCGTCCTGCACCAGCAGCTAATTCAGTCATTTCTGTAAAGCTACTTTGCAGCGACTTGTATCGTGAAAAGCGCTATACAAATAAACTTGAAATAATTATTATTTTTTTAATTCTGACCCATTTGGACTTTGCCAGGACTTCACACTCCACTGCATAGCTGGAGAAGACCTGATCTGCTATGCCCAGAATAGCGCTTTTAAATGTCAACTTTTGTTGACCTTGCATCAGATTTTAAGCCCTTCAATTATACAAGCCTATTTTAACCCCTAATCTTGATGGTTTTAGAGATTAGAACAAGTCTTACATTTAATTATAGCATGACAAAAGGGGATTTATATTCCAAGTTGAATGCATTTAAGAAAAGAAACGGGCTCAGAAGAATATGTGATGCTCAAATCTCGATTATCAAGAACCGATAACATTTCTGACTTTGTGACCTTCGACTCACCTGTCTGGAAAACCTGCTTGTAAACGTGTTGTCGTGTAGCGCTGGGCTGCAGACTCATGTCCGCGCACATGAGGAACCCCTGGGAAGCCATTGGGAGAACATGCAGTGTTGTTCACCATCTCGTGGTTCATCTCCTGTTCTTGGAAGTCTTCTGGAATCTCCTCCATCTCCGTCCTGTTTAGGGATATAGTCTGTGCACTGTTCATTTCCAAAACAAATCCAACCAGTCCAAGCCAGTCTTGTGGCTGAGTCTTGTGCAAATTCAAATGATGGTCTCTGAATCCTGTTCAAAACGGCACAATTATGGATCCAAGATTCAGATTCAAGAATGGAATGAAAATAAGTATGTAACTACGAAGGCTAAAAGTGATCTAGCTGTAAATCCAGAGTTAAGCAGTTTCATTTCTCCAGGATCCCGTGGTTGTTTGTGTTTGATGAGGTGAGCGAAGAGCTTTGCTTTGACTGATCTCATATAGCCCGGGCGAGTGAGTTCCCAGGAACTGTGAATCCATGCTCTACGCACCTGCTCACATGGAGACCAAGGTGTCACCGTGGAGATCTTCCCACCTCTGAATCCCACTGGCCCCTGTGTGCGAAAGCACTGGTATAATAGGAGGACTGAGAACAAGGAATAGACAAACTAGAGATAGTAAGAGAATGTTCAAGCCTGAGGGAGTTACATACTGGGACATTGAGGAGATAGAAAGGAGTGTTTTGCTCTTGCGCACTCTCTCTTTGTGGCTTTAGCTGTGGTTCTGTCAAGAGCGCATGTCACTCACACAAAGAGGATTGGAGAATTAGACCTGGGGACCATTAAGACGAAAAAGGCACTTCACTGACTAAGACTTTGTGTATAAATGTGTGCGTAGAGCCAACAGCTGCTGGCATAGAAGGCATAAAACAAACAGACAAACAAGATAAAGCAAGCAAACCCAACAATAGCTGAAACAAACTCAAAACATAGATGAAACAACCAGAAAAAGTTGATGAAACAAGCAAACAAATGAGATTAAACAAGTAAACAAACTATAGAACAACCAGTCAAAACAAACTAGATAAACAAATTAGATCAAGCAAAAACAAAAAATAATAAATACAAATAAATAAATAAAAAATAAAAACCAACATAAAACAACAATGTAAAACAAACGTTTAAAATTTTGCTAGGGTGTTCATTGTGTTTGCTAGGTGACGCTTACCCAAGTTAAGATAGCCCACCCCATGATATTCTCATACCTATATTATATTACATATATATATTATTATACCTCATACCTATATTGCTTAGTCTCTGATATTTTTTTCGCCTGCCAAACAAAAATCGTTCTATTGGTTTACAACTTATTTTGAAGTATCCTTCATGTCTAGCACATGCAGAATATTTAGGGTTAGGGGTTTATTCATAAACAATCAAGATTAATTTTTTGTCTTTTTAAATAAGTATGCCTCACAATGGCAAGGCCACAGATTATGTGTCAAAACGCATTGTCATTGAGTAGCTGACAAGTGCATTGCGCACTATAACGGAAGGCTTTCTTTTCCTGTATATTTCATATTAAGCAAAAGCAGGTGGTTGCTGGTTTGAGGCAGTAGCTTAAGCTGAAATCCTCTTAGACATTATGAAAAAAACAGTAGCTGACTGTCTTCAAAACCACACATGCAAAACCTGACACAGTGTGTGGAAGATCTTCGAAACTATGTAAAATAATTTATCTACATAGTCGTCTAAAATATATAATGCATTTGTCATCCTGTCTAGTGAATCAAACCTGTCTCTTCTCATGTGATTACCATGACCATGATAAGGAATCTCATGCATATTTTGTGGGGAGTCCCATTCACAAAACTGTGTGAGAGGGTCAAGCACATGACGGAGGTCCTCTCCTGACCCTCTGCTGCCTGTGTGTGTGTGCAGCAATTCAGTGCGTTACGGGAATTAGTCTGTGTGTGACTCTCGTCAGGTGAGCAGCTGGTTTCAGTTTTACTTTTTAAAGATAATGACATTGAAACAAAGCTTTCCTGATTTAATGCAATACATTATTTTATTATTTATCCAAATCTACCTACAGTCCATTGCACCTCTTACAAAGATTTACTGTATACGAATGTATAAGCATAGCACTATATATACTATGACATTAATCAATTACCATATTCATATACTATGGTATGGTATTTAGATGGTATTGTCTTTGTACACGTCCAAAAAAATGTAGGTACTTTTTTTTTTGTTTCTGATCCCCCCTATCGACCATTTATGGTAATTTAAATATGGTAATCATCCATTTCTCTCTTTCGGCCAGAAGAGAGCAGCATAGACTTTTACATCTTAATATCTCCTCCATTACACAGTTGCCCATATCCTCTTGAGACCCAGAAAAAAAAGCTTTGTGAATTTAGTATTTTTTTTTCTTCTTGTCATTACATTGTTTAGAGCATAAGAAAAAAAATGAAAAGGCAAAAACAATAGGATTTTAAAAAATCACCAATTAATTTTTAGGTTTCAGGATTTTTTATTCCAAAGTTTGTATAGGAAGTATTCTCAACTATGTTATAAAAGATATAACGGAATGATTTGATATACCACATTGCTTTATGCAATGGGTGTATAGAATATTCATAAACTGGTTTTCCCATTAAACACAATGTTATCTACTGTATCTAATTTCTCCTCCATTACACAGTTGCCCATATCCTCTTGAGACCCAGAAAAAAAAGCTTTGTGAATTTAGTATTTTTTTTTCTTCTTGTCATTACATTGTTTAGAGCATAAGAAAAAAAATGAAAAGGCAAAAACAATAGGATTTTTAAAAATCACCAATTAATTTTTAGGTTTCAGGATTTTTTATTCCAAAGTTTGTATAGGAAGTGTTCTCAACTATGTTATAAAAGATATAACGGAATGATTTGATATACCACATTGCTTTATGCAATGGGTGTATAGAATATTCATAAACTGGTTTTCCCATTAAACACAATGTTATCTACTGTATCTAATTTGCATATTAATGTGCTGTTGTGACAGTATGTTGAAAAAAGAAGTGTAAATGGTAGTAATAATTGCTCAGATTTTCATAACAAATAATATTTCATAAGAATATTGATATATAATTTCTATTCCTATTCAATTGTTTCCCAAACTGTGTAATAATCATGCTTTTAGTCCTGGTGTCCTCTACAGAGGATGTGTATGAAATGATGACCTGTTTCCTAACAGGAAGTCATATTTGATTTGAAACCCCATAACATTTTCCGGCGATGTTGATTTATGACAAACAATTTGAAAATTAATCAGATTTAAACAATTACAAAATATTCACATTTCCATAAGGATGTAGGCCTACAATTTTATCACTAAATTAATGTCAGCCATCCAAACATTTGGTATCTGTGAAAAGCCCTGAATGTGCTCTTTACAGGACATCCCGATTAAAACTGTGACATGCAAGATCTCGGAGAAATTCACTTAAAATATTATGTCCTCTACAGAGACAAAACTCCATAGCTGGGTCTCAGGAGGATATGGTTGGCTATTAAATAAATTGCTAAACTTTTGAATTGCACAAAAGGTCACCTACTGTTAATATTTTGTGTAAATGAATGCTAATATTGAATTCAAACACGTTTTAGTGACTTTTACTTTACGATTTTCCTTGGTACTTTCTGGTGACTCACAAAGAACATCCTGTTTCACTGGAATAAGCAATATGTTCATAGTCATTAACCACTGACTGATTTTAGTAAAACGAGTTAGTTGTTTGTGCTGATTTATAGATTTAAATTAGCAACCAGTTAGGAATTAGTGATGAGCAGTCTATTTCCGCGAATCGGTTCTTTTGAACAGTTTCAAAGAACCGGTTCGAAAACAGCAATTCGGTGATCCTTTTACGTTATGACCATAGACTGTATAAAAACAGGTTATGACGCAATTACGTCCATACGTCTTCCCTTACATGTTTTTAAAATACTCCAATAAAGCAATGTATAGGTGTTACTTAACTTTTTCGTAGGGAGGTTTGTTGTAATGTGTCCCCGCTCATAAAACCATGAAGTCATTTAGGAAATGCGTTAATAAAACTATATACATCAATCGTTATACAATCGTCGTAAGCAAATTTCACATGTTTTCTAGGCTAATTAATGTGATGTTTCGCGATGTAAGTAAAAAATATAAAGACGAGCTTTTGATTCGAGAAAAACGTAGACTGATTCGTACCGGTTTTGTGAACTGCTTCAAGTGATTCGTTGAAATGATTCACCTCAAAAGGACGGCTCTTTCACATCGCGGGAATTTCTGCATGTTGGATGTTCTGAATTTTGGAAACTCCCACTTCACAGAAGGATTTTAGTATGATGTCATGACATGAAAAGGAAAGCGGAACACAACCACTGGCACAGCTGTAATAAATTCCCACACAAGCAAGACCGTCATCCCTCCTGGTAAGAAAGACGAACGTTTTAACTTTTTTGTTGGGTATTTTGTCAGTTATTTTGGGTCGTATTTAGGGCATTTTATCTTGCTTCTCAAAGTAACATTAAGGAACTATTCGTTTCCCTTATTCAACCAACGCATTTTCCCTTCGAAATTGATGAAACGCCAGTTTACATGAGGATGTTCTGAATTTTGGAAACTCCCACTTCACAGAAGGATTTTAGTATGATGTCATGACATGAAAAGGAAAGCGGAACACAACCACTGGCACAGCTGTAATAAATTCCCACACAAGCAAGACCGTCATCCCTCCTGGTAAGAAAGACGAACGTTTTAACTTTTTTGTTGGGTATTTTGTCAGTTATTTTGGGTCGTATTTAGGGCATTTTATCTTGCTTCTCAAAGTAACATTTAAGGAACTATTCGTTTCCCTTATTCAGCAAACGCATTTTCCCTTCGAAATTGATGAAACGCCAGTTTACATGAGAAATAAAAATAAATGAATTGTATTCTTAAGCCAGTATGTGTTATTAACTTCCGGAAGCGTGGCTCGTGTGTGCTTTTGTTCTTTATAAAGGACAGTCCTGGATATCCGCAGCGAAACATGTCTGAACTCGGGTTTCTGAAGATCTATTTAATCGGAACCGCGTTTTCCTTTCTGGTGGCTCTGTTTGGGCTGGTTGATTCTGTCGGAGGTCTGATGTATTCTCAAGGACTAGACTGGGCAGACGACAGCTGGACCGAGAAGTTTCCCATCGTGTCTCCATCACAGACTACTACTACTACTACTACTGCTGCTGCTGCCAACAACACCAAGCGCAACGGGTCGAGGTGATGTTCTCCACTGCCATCGGTGGCGAATCTTTAATTGCACTAGGAGAAATAATCGGTGTATTAATGTTACTGACCTACTAAAGCCTGCTGTGGAATTATTTCCTCCTCTACACTACTGCGAGTCAGACATGAAGAACATCAATAATGGCTGGTCATTCTACAGCCATATGAGACGTCAACTCTTCACACTCATTAATTTTTTTTTTGCTTTGTTATTCTGGTTTCTGCAAAGAACTTGTCTGACTTTATGTGATGAAGACCCTGCAAGAGTAGAAAACAAAATCTTCGGGATAGATTGAAAGCTTAAAAATACTACAAACATGCTACATGAATATGCTGGACTCAAAATATTGAAATCCCTCCCCCCCCTTTATATGCTGTTTATATGAAGACTATAATAACACACCATGTTAATATACATTTGTGTAACATGCTGTGT